CCCGGTACGGAGAGCTGGCTGCTGGCCCCGGCGGCTGCGCAGGCGGGGCAGCATGAGGACATGGCTGCACAGCCGAGGCGTACGTGCAACCATGTCCTCATGCTGCCCCGCCTGCGCAGCCAAGGCCTCCCGTGAGGGAGCAGGTCGTTATGAGCTTATATGGCACTGCTTTATTTCCTACTCTCAGTTCTTTTCTGTGACTTCGCAACATTCAGGGCTTTTTGCTGTTATTTTATTTCAGCAGAACTGTCCGTACGTGCAAGATGTTAACCAGAGTAGTGATAGCCAGCTAGAAGCCCATCACTGTTTATGCAAACTTCGGTTTGCTTTGCTGTCTCCCTGGTGCATAGGTTTATAACTATCCCTGCTGAATTTTATCTACCTTTTATTGTCCTTTCACTTAGTATCGCAAGGCTTTTCTGCAGTTTTCACAGTCAGCTCGTCTTGACTACCCTGAATGCCATCAGCTAGAACTGCTCAAATGATTTAATTCATACAGAGCTGCAAGGGCTTCTAATTTATGCCATAGAAAGGAAAGTACCAGATCTTCAAAGGCTGGAGTGTGCTAAAAAATGATAAAAATTTGGAGCGCTAAAGAGTCACAAGTAATGGCAGAACAAATATATGAAAGCTGTTTGAAAAGGAAATAGTCACTTAATTACTACGGAAAGCAGGCAAAGACTAAAAAAAAAAAGAAAAAAACCTAATCAGATTAATTTTTTTAAAGAGAAACTCAGGACAGATGCATGAGTATGAAAATATTGTTTTGTCAAAGACAGAAGAAAAAGTATGTTTGAAAAATCAGAGCCAACACAGAATCATTAAAAGATAATGTTTTATTAATAGAACTAAAAATGCTGAGCAACGTGTTATGCAGAAATGACTATAGAGCATCAATAGGGGGAAGCAGTGAACACATTTTCATTTAGCCACTCTCCTCATAGCCCACATTGTTGTCAACGAGTTGACAGAAGACATTCCTGGTCAGCGTTTAACAATACGTGACTTTTCCAGAAACACCCATATGGCTCCCTACAGCTTCACTTTGAAGACAGTCCTTTGGTTTTTGAAAGCCAGGAAATAAAATACAATGACCAACTCCAGATTTACTTTGGGACATGACTTTGGGACAAAGTAGTCTCTGGGTTTTTCATTCCCATTTGTTTGTTTGAATCTTTTGTCTTATTTGTATGTGGAAAGTCTTGAGGCAGATAAGAAATATTTTTATTGAAAACAAATAATCCAACCAGCTTTCCAAGTGAATTGACTTAGTTGGACCAACCCAATTCAAAAATAACTTTTTGAACAATCCCCAGTCTTGGTGGTCTCCAGTTTCTTAACAGCTTTTTGTATTTGTTTAGCATAATATGTATCCACCCAGATTATAATTTCAGAATATAAATATTTTTCTGTTCTTTTAACTTAAGTGATGTGAATAACGAACATGGCATGGACACTGCTTCCTACATTAACACCTTCTTTGTTCTTCGTAAACATCCATTCCCCCAGC